AAAATATATATATTTAATTTTTAAAGATAAAATCAAGAAATTTGACATACCTTGAAGCCAACTTGTTGTACTTCATGAGCACGTACAACATGTGAAAAATTATTCTTATCAAGAAAGGTCATAAGTGCTTCACATGTAAAATAATTTCCAGTACTTCTTCGTGTATTATTAAAAAATCCACCATTAGCACCAATGGGTAGTTGAGCAACAGTATTTGTATCAATTGAAAATGGATCATTCCACATAATTTCCCATGCCAAAGGTGATTCATTTTCTGGATCACTCAATGGTACAATGATATCATTAACAGTGGAAATAAAATCACCTGGACATGATGTAGGACTTGGAATACCACCATGCAAACAGAGAATCTGTTATATAAAATAAGAAATATTAATTAAAATATTTATATGAACTATATACATACTTTATCATCAATTACTGCAGCAAGTGGTAATACATCAAAAACTCCATTAATTGCATCCCATACTTCTTTACCAAGTATATCACCGAATTTTCCAAGACATTCTCTATAAATAGAAAACTTCATGATGAGATATGAATGTTCATATATAATAATAACTAAGCAAAGTTTTCATATATTTGAATAATAAATTTTGCAGACGTTAGACAAGTACATTAATTTTATTTCGAAAGTGTATTTTGATAAAATTTACTTAAGCAAAAGTACAATAAACACTCGATAAGTAAAAAGTAAACTCACTCTGTACGTTACAGTATAAGTTTAAAAAATAATACAAAGTAATGCACGAGCGATAGAGTCTTTTCATCTGGCCTGTTGCGATTGCAATGATTGTTTGTCTATAGATACTATATAATGTTCTAATAAAATCTCTAAAAAGATTTGGGTTTCTATTGATATTTGACCCACACTCTCGACATGAAATATATCATACGATCTGTAGTTCAATACCATTCTTTTTCTCTTCCAAGACCATATTATCAAAACTAAAACTTCTGAAGTCATATCTATTAGAGGTGTCTAGTTTGGATTAGCTAAACATAATAAAAACAGTTTTCCCATGAATCTGATGACCAGAATGCATTTTGGAGTACTACAACGAACAATTTTGAGGTGAATCTGGTGACCAGAATGTATCTTGGTTTACTATAAAGTTCTCTTTTTGACAACCAAAAATATATTTTGGTCACTAGATCCATGGGAAAGCTGTTTTTTATTATGTTTAGCTAATCCAAACTAAACACGTCTAATAGATATGACTTCAAAAGTTTTAGTTTTGGTAATACGGTCTTGGAAGAAAACAAGAATGGTATTGAACTATAGAATGTATGATATATTCATGTCAAAAAATCCCCATTTGGGACAAATGATAACCTACCCATAAAAAAATT